TGTCATCTTTTGTTAGAGCTTGTGTAGATGATTTCTTTGTTCTTTTTCGGAATATGGTTTGAATTAAGGTTGGGGAGATGTGGGGTTTGTTGGGCCTCGTGGCACACGTGTCTTGGGTTCGCAACTATCGAGTGTGGTGTTGTGCTCGCAAACGTTGTTCACCACCATCATCATCATAGTTAGAGCGATGGCACCGGCAGTGACACCTGGCGGCACGGGAGAGATGAGCAGTTTTTTTTCGCAGGTGACGGTTAGCGCGAAGGGTTGTCTCTAGCGGTGGGCCCACGTGGTGAGTCAAGCTTTAGCGAAGTCGCCTTGTGCATGTTCTTTTGTTTGTTATGTTGTTGAGTGTTATGTAGTTTTGTGTAAGGTTGTTTAGCATACTAATCACAACTGATGTGATGTATAATAATTCAGCTGATCACATCGTCATTCTAAAAGTAGTTCAATAAATATTTGTTGGCTTTGGTCCAACCGCGTCTGCTGTGTCCGTTTACTCCAAGAGCGCGGCGCTCTCCACTTCGAGACCCCACAAAGCATCGAGGCTGGTGTACTTCAGCTGTCACTCAGCAGAATTGCTACAGTACAATGCCTAGTGGCCTTTAATGGCTGTTTACGGCCCTTAAACTACGGCCCTTAAAGGCCTTTAAGAGCCTTTAAGGGCCGTAGCTTTGCGGAGAAATCGAGATCGAAAATGGGTACACTGCACTCAAAGTTTTCTAATTAACCAGACAGGTGCTAACTGCCACTTCAAATTATCAGCTCAAACTTGAATTGTAATATACAGGACCACTGAAATACTTCAAATTAAGTGGGATTTCAAAATGACCGAGTTCGATTTAATGAGGTTTTACTGTATGTGACACAGTGCAAATCGGGCGACAACACTTGCACTGAAAAAGTGCCGCTTTTTGCCTGAACCCTAAGGAGCGGGCTGCCATGTTAATCCGCGCAAGGACTGGATGCCGCAGTCGACTAATTACGTCTGCAGGAAGCTCTACGTGCCAAGGTACACTACACAATGAAAACGTGGGAAGCTGTGTATGAAGGACCCACTCTTGTGAGTGCACCACAAAGAAAGTATTTGGCTAAAGACGCCATGCCGACGAAGATTCCGACTGCCGTGCTTACCGAAAAAAAAAAGGGAGGGAAGCGCCTACTTCAAACGCGCTGTGTCAAACGCGCTGTGTCAGGCTAGAAAATACAACCAGATTTCAAGAACTCACGCCAACGAAACCCTAGCAGGCATGCGGCATGTTCTGCGAGATAAGTACACGAAGCTGTGTGGCATCTGATACCACAGAAATCGACACAGTGCCAGTCATGGTCTAAGGCACAAGTTTGATCAAGATCGTTTTTGAAAATGACAATACCGTGCCTTTCCCAACTGCAGCCCGAGCTTAACACAAGGTTGAAGATGACAGGTTGAGAACAATCATGTTTCGTGAAGTTTACATTATTATCGTGAGGCAGCTACCCAGCCAGATGATTCCACAACTGGCACGAGCTAATTCTGCTATGCTACTGCTCCCAGTCACGTCGTCATGAAAAGAGTGGCGAGTCTTGACGAACAACCGAACGTAATTCTAGCTCTGTTGGGCAAACATACACCCCTTCAATACATTCAAGAACTCCCTAGCAACGTCAGTATACCAGTAAAAATATTGAAATGCTCGTCAGGTAAGTGAGCGCAATTCATTTGTGTGCCAGCGTGTGATCCTTACATCACTGCAATAAAATGCATCTCGACATCACTGTAACAACACTCGACATCACTGTAACAACACTCGACATCACTGTCGCTATTGAGTTCATCCTCGCTGTGAGTTGGTATTTTCTATGAACCATCCCTGCCTGCATGTAGTGTGTTCTCCCTGTGACAGAGCTACGCTTGTTAACAATGAGAATACTTGGGGTTTTATGAGCTGAAGTCATGATATCATTATGAGGCATGCTGGAGGAGGGCTCCAGAAATTTTTACAATGTGGTGTTCTTTAAAGTGCACCGACACCGCACAGTGCACGGGCCTCTAGCATGAAGCCTCCACCAAAATGCAACCCCTACGACAGAAATCGACAGTATATTTTTGCGCTGTTATACTAGGGCAAATACACCTTTTTAACAGAGAGGAGGATCCCCTCCTTTCTAGGCTGTTGCATGGTAGTACAAAAGCTGATGTCACAGCTTCGGTCTTGCAATTTTGGGGAGTCACGCCTGTTAACAACAGTCCAGAAGGGCTTATGACGGCACCTAGAGAGCCTTCCTTAATAAGGTGTGTAGGTTATTTTTGTTTCTGTAAGGATTACTTAAACAGAACTACCTTCTCTGGTATTTCAACACAACTCCAATGCCATAACTTCTCTCATATTTCAACGCAACTTTAATGCCATATGTTTAAATGCACAATTTCACGTGTCCAAATGTGGAAGCATCGGTCTATCACGCACCATTGAGAAAGTGAATTGAACATATTTCTCTAATATATGCTTTTGTATCATCAAAATTTATTCATTTAATTATCACACTTGTTATAGAGTAAAGACAGTGTCTTTTTGTTCTTTTTATAAATGTTGAGCAGCGTCCGCGGCCCTGAAATGACCATGCATAATAGCTCACATCGACAGTGGGTACTCTGGCGCCATCTCAGGCCCTCTCCACAAAACGAGGACCAAAGTTCTTCGTTTCCGAAGGAACTATTGGGCCACCTAAATACTTCTAACACCATGCTCCGAATTCCCTACAGATAGCACTGCACAGTGCACGGAATTTGCACTTTCATTACGCAAACAGCTGAGAATTAACTTGCTCTCCTCTCGGCAAACTGACATGGGAATGACCAATGGCTGATTTCATGATCACGAATGCATCCTCGGTACAGATAATATTGTGAGCTCAGAGTTCAATAAACAACAGATCTGAATTTATCTTGCTTCAAAACATTGAATTAAGCCCTCTTGGTACTTCTTGTCTCGATCAATGGTCATCTGTTCATATTGTTTCTCCCCGTATTACCCTACAAGGTGGCAGGAGGCTTAATAAAGCCTATGATATTTCGAACTTTATGGACCTGAGTGAGTCCTCTGAGTCGCACTGAACACACTACAACAGCACATAATGATTAATATCGTCAGTTCCAAATCCATCGGCATGCAGGCCAGTGCACACTTTCTACATTCGCTAGTTGAAACTGTGGTAAAATGTTCTATTTGGGTTTCACTACTACACCTTTATAAGAGACTTGCTCCAAGGAAGAAGAGTAAATTTAAGGGCTCGTTTCCTTAGATACAATTTATTATACTGTATGTGGTGTCTCTTACGAGCATAATACCACGCATGCATTTTCTTATCAACACTTATTTCAATTTAGACAAACTGGTTTTTTACAACAATTTGTCTGTTACATCTGTGTCTTTTATAAAGGGATTCGATGGTATCTGTCAGTCAACCAGACACAGTGCAACAACAGTGAGCGCCACGTGCTCACAGACCTTGGCCATACACAGCGTGGTAGTGCCAGATGTGCTTGAGTGCAGTTACAGCAGGCACAATGTGGTGTCGCGGTGGTGGTATTTTGATTTCTCGTGATCATACTACAGTCTAACCCCGCTACAACGAAAAATGCGGGAAAAATTTCATTGAAGCAAAAATTTCGTTGTAGTGAAATCGAAAAAACATAACTGATCTGAGCTAGCAAAACAAAGAAACGTTTATTCTGAAAATTTGTCCGCTGCTTCCTATTCTTTCCCAGAAATGTCACGACGTGATTCTCATCCATGCATAATGCGGCCATGGTGAAAAGCACGCTGAAACAACGCCTAAAACGGCCTTCGTGAGTGAAGATGGAGGCAGAGTATCGTGAAGCAGCGACTTTTACATTATTCATTGTTATCATCCATTACTTGCAGCTAGCTGATTTTGTTGATAATGCTCTGATTAGTTACCACACTGGCTAAGCGCAAACATGATGATAAGCATCAAAAAAGGCATCGTTCTGCAGTTGCACGCAACAGCTGCGAGAAGCAAACTATAAACTGAACGACTGAGCTTCAGCTTCGAATCGCCTGCGGCTTAAAAGCAAGGCAGTGGCAAAAGCGGAGCAGTCTCATTGCCATCGCTATCGAGCAATGGCGGCGCCCATGCTAGCTGAATAGCGGCGGTATAGCGGTGGTTTCTGGTGGCGCCAACATGTGTTTTAGACTTCGTTGACGTATTTTCAGGCTCTCAAAAATGCATGAAATGTTAAAGATTGGGTTTACTGCATAAAAATCGGTATCTGAGCCTCGAATTGCATCGTAAAGTTTTGTTGAAGCGGGACGATCGAAGACAAAGTGTTTGTTGTGGCAACAATATTTATGCATTGACTTCTATGGACTGCTGATGGGGAATCGTGAATTTTTCGTTGTAGCGGAAATTTCGTTGAAGTGGCCTTCGCTGTAACCGAGTTCGACTGTAGTACTGCAGTATTTTTTTTTTCGAAATTGGCTGAGGCAGTGTACCGGAAAATTCATGGCCGCAATCATACAAACAGGAATATAGGCTAAAAATCGGCACTCTCCCATGCAAGTTGGGAGAGTTGGAAGTTATGCAGATACGCACCTCATAATAATATTCACCAGAAAAGCAACCACACCAAAGCAGGAAATGAAGCTCATGAATTAAATAAAGCTCACTCTTTCACCTTGTTCTTTTTTTTTTTTTTTGTCAAGTAAAAACTCAACACACTCTATAAGTCTTATATTACGTTAGTAGTCAGAAGCCAGATATGCCGAACCCACACTAATGCACATGTACATGCGGCACACACACAAAGAGTCTTTTGCAATCGCATCCACTCACAACAGTGATGGATGTCGTGAAGGAGTAGGAAACAGTTGAATGGCACACAAAGACAATTACATAACATTAATGAACAAATCTTGTGGATTCCAGTCTTCAGTCTTCCATTGCCTGTACGCTGTTCATGATTACAAATAAGGTAAGCTTACAAACATTCAACTTACTTTCAGTGGAGGCCCTCTGAAAGCTACATAGACAAGGCCATGGTCATCATCGTCACATGGGTACGGTACCGTTGACTCCAAAGGACCGGTGATGGGTGGCACTGTTTTCTGCCATGGCCGGGTAAATGGCTTTCTCTGGCCCTGTAAGCACAATGTTCATGACTGCTTCTCGTGATCTGAAAGTAGGCATTAAGTGCCAACCTCTTTAGTATTTGACACAGTTTCTAGGCAGTGGCTATAATCATAGATGGGCAAATAATGAAATTTTCTAATACAAATAATACAAAAAACTGCCTTTGAATGTAGAATCAAATAGAAAATATGTCATACTCATCAGCATAATAACTTATGTCCACAGTAGGACGAAGACCTTCCCCAATGATCCCAAACCCACCCTGTTCTGCATAAGGCAATTCATTTTATTCCTGCAAATTTTATCACTTTAACCCTCTGCGGTTTTCTACCAATTGTACATTGTTAAAGAGCCACTAAACAAGCCCTAACTTTTTTTTACACCCCCTTCCCCTCCCAAACAAGCTGTGGGGATCCTATTTTCTGAATATTACAGCACTGCGCACCACGTAAACCCTCCATTTCGAAAAACAATTTCCCTGCCTCTTTTTTTTGCCTGACTGATCCTTCTCATATCAAAGTGACACAATCTAGCCCAGGAGCGACTTCACATACCACCAAGCTCATTGATTGGTCTAAACCAGGTCTCAACAAACAATTGTCAAGTTAACATCAGTTTCTGCTTGTTCCACCCACTTCTACGAAGCTGCCCCATGTTTCTTGGCCCTGCTATGATGCAGTTTTGGCCACGCAGCTGCCGTGCATATATTTCTCGCATAGCATAGCACTTGCACGCACTCATGACAGGTCGTCACTCTCAGCTGTACATCGACAAGGCGTGTCACCGTAATGATCCTTTTTCTTCTGTACCCCAACCACTCTCTCTCCCTTCTGCAAGAACCTTTCAAGGTGTGCGCACAGCACAAGGTGCATAACAGGAGCACGTGTGACAACTAAGCGCGTGCGAGAATGTAAACAGTACACAACCGCGAGCCGTGAAAGTGCATTGCGAGTGATCGAACTCGCCGATGACGTCAATTGCAGATGTCGTGTCACATAGTGGAAGTGGACCAAGTTACAGCAGTGGCCTATGCCTTCCCGTTCCTATGGCGAAGAAGGGTGGTGAGGCTGCGCTAGAGTCTGAAACCAGCTAAAACGTTTCTTCTAATGCCTTTTAACTTCTTTATTATAGGACATATTGGCAAAATTCTTACAGCAGCATTTTTGCACAGCAAAAGTGTGCATGTTTTCATTGATTACAATTTCTGACTGCAGGGATGTTTACTGGCACTTGAAGAAGTTGATATGTGGGGTTTAACGTCCCAAAACCACCATATGATTATGAGAGACGCCGTAGTGGAGGACTCCGGAAATTTCGACCACCTGGGGTTCTTTAACGTGACTTGAAGAAGTTGCAATACAAGAAATAACTATAGTATTAATTATTTTTTTTAACAAATTATAGAATCCTGATATCATCAGGCTGTAACACATTAGAGATGGATTTTGTAATAGACTCACTACAAATTATCATGCAGAAAAATTGATTCTTTGACATTCTTACAAAGATAGCATGCAGTACATACTGCAACATGTCTAAAAGAAAAAAAAAGACCCTCTTACTAATGCGATGTGATGCTTGCACATAACCATTTCTTTTTCTAAGCATCTACACCTCGCTTAGGAAACATTTTTAGTAATAGAGTTGCCTCTCAGTAAACATAAATCTGGTAAACAGAACTGCTGCTTAAGTGGAACAAGTGCTTTGGACAACATTGCTTTCGTACTTGTACTCTGCACCCCTACTCATTTCTCAGTAAACTGAATTCCTGTTAAAGAAAACATTTTCCTGGTCCCTTCATGTTCCGTTTATTGAGAGTCCACTATACCTTTCTATAGAACACAAAGGAACCATGTGTGCTGTATGAGAGACTTGCAAAATAAAGCTCAGCAAAAAATAAACAGCCCCTGTCACCTGGAGGGGCCAGACCGATTGGAATGGAACTTGAAAATCAAGTGTCATGCATACGAGGCTTGTTAGAAATGTATCCGACCTTACTTTTTTTTTGGCGAACACCTGATGAATTTGAAACAAGCGCGCTTGCATCAGCCCACCTTGAATCTTAGTGCGCATGCGTGAATTTTTTCCCGCCTGCCAATAACGTCAGCTGATGAGACGCACAGTTTGAGTGAGGTAGTGCGCAGTGCTCTCGTCGTTTTTTCATTCGTAGGGACAATGACGGAGCGACTAGAGCAATGATACTACATAAAATTTTTCCAGACGACAACCAAGTAAAAACCATTGGGAATATCAAGACGGCTTTGAGTGATGACGCTATGAGCTGCACACAGGTTAAGGAGGGGTACAACTGGTTTAAAGACGGCCACACATTGGTGGAGAGTGAGCCACGCTCCGGTCGGCCATCAACATGCCGAAATGACCAGGTCATTGCCGAAGTGAATGCTGTGGTGATGTGGCACCGTCGTGTGAATATCCGGGAAATTTCCGAAGAGGTGGGTATGAGCACTTTCTCTGCACATTCTATTATGACTAAAGATTTGGCCATGAAAAGAGTTGCGGCAGAATTCGTGCCAAAACTGCTCACGGTAGAGCAAAAGCAACTTCCTGAACACCATTATCATTGGTGACGACTCTTGGGTGCACAGTACAACCGGAAACCAAATCCCAGTCACAGTGAAGGCATTCTACACCAACGAAGCCAAAGAAAGCCTGCCAAGTGTTCAGCAATGGCAAAGTGGTGTTCAGTGTTTTATTGACTCCCGCAGTGTGGTACACCACGAGTACGCACCACAGGGCCAAACAATTACCAAAGAGTACTACAAGCATGTCCTCCGTCGCCTATGTAATGCTGTACGGCGCTTGTGTTCAACAGGAAACTGACGCATCCATCATGACAATGCTCCTGCACATTCCTCACACTTGGTTCAGACTTTCTTGGCAAAAAGACATACTTCCATAGCTCAGCAGGCTCCTTACTCTCCTGATATGGCCCCCGACTTCTGGCTGTTTCCCAAACTCAAGAGAAGAGTGAAAGGAGAGCTATTTCAGACAAGGAAGGACATTACGCCTGCAATGACAGCTGAGCTAAACTCCATTCTGAAATAGACCTTCTCAGAATGCTTCCAACAATGGCAGCACCGCTGGGAAAAGTGCGTGGAGTCTCAAGGGGACTACTTTGAGGGGGATTAGGTTTCCAACGCTCCAATTATGCCAGTTTGTTTTTTTTTTCTTCTACCGAAGGTCAGATATTTTTCTAACAGACCTCGTATTTATCACACACTGCAGTAAATGACAGGAGACTTCTGGAAATGTAGCATAAATATGCACTAACTCTCCAGAACTGCATGGCCAGTATGCGGTAACTGTGAAGTACAATGTAACCTAATGGGTACATATAGGCGATATTCTACTTTTAAAATGGGGATGCATGGCATTCATAAGTCAACAGTTGGTTGAAGATGAGAACTGTTCCAAATAGTGTTCAGTTTTTCAACAATATATTTCACCATGGTCGAGTACTCGGGAAAATTCAAATATGCATTTCTCAAATAGATATGTGTCGAATAAAGAAGGCATTCTTTGAAATTTTTAATATTCACACAAGCCTAGCAGGGGTGCAAATGCAGAAATACAATTTGGAACAATTTTTGAAGCAGCAAAATGTTACTTTTGGTACACTAAAATCCAAATTTGGAGCAATATAAGAAAAAAAAGACTTACATTTAGAAAAAAAATGTGCATAAGCCATTCAACATTACCTAAATCGTGTAGCGTGGACAGGAGCATTGCTATTTGAATGAAAATATTATCTTGAACCACCCCACAGAGTAAACAATGATAAAGTCCATATTAGCAATTGCTGTGCCTGCCAAATCATTTTACGAACTCTGAGAATTCAAATACAGATCTGCCAAGCTCGCGACTGAAATTTGAGAGATTTGTAAAACCGAGAAAGTGGCAAAAAAAAACAAAAAAAATTTTTTTTCAGGGAAGCAGAAATGCGATACACTTCTCCAAATAATTGCCAGTAACTTAATTAGACGCCAGTGAATATACTGGTACTTAGAATTATTCGAGTACAAACGCACGAGTAACTCAACAAAATGTGCAGTGTCCCGTGACTCTCACTACAGCCCCTTCCACATTTCAATACGCTTTTCTGCACGACACAGGTGTACTGCAGCGAAAGTGGCGCAACATTCTCTGCACGGTTAGAACCAAGGCCATGAAGTTTTTTAATCGCTGCACCCCCTGCACCCCCCCCCTTCCCACCCCTCTTTCTCCCTTTTTTTTTTTCTTTCACCGTGGGGTTAGGGGCCGCTTTGACTCACTTTCAAGGCGCATTCGACCAGGCAAAGTAACCACGGCACACGCTCGTTTGTCCGGCGATGCTACCGGATGTCTATCGCAAGGACCTTGGCTGGGACAACGCAACTTCAAGACAAAAAAAAAGTTATGTGCCACTGCTAAGGCAATGAACGTGGTCGCTGGCAACACCGGCGTTTGCGACACACTGAGCTTTTCCACGTGAGAAAAACGCGGCATACGCTTCCAGCTTTAGTTCCTAACAAGGATAGCCGCATTTTCAGGCTAAGAAAGTAACATTTCCCGCGAAGCGTTAGTGGCCGCAGCAACGCATTTCTGTCTTGAAGTTCTATCATCCCGCCGATAGGTATCCGCTGCGGTCGGCAGATTGACGAGTGTGCAGCGTTGTTTCTTTATCTGGTCGATCAGGTCTCGTGAGCATAGGGCGGGTGCCTGGAATATTCTAGGCATAATAGTTAGAGTTTGCGCATTTTTACTGACGGCGCAAAGTGCAGGAGGCCGATATGGCCTGAATATGTCGCGGAAATTAGCGCACCAGAAAAAAATTGAGGCTGGCTGAGCATTTTCCTACAGCGTAGTGCAATTTCAGCCGACTTCGCGGTTTAGGCACAGCTCGGCGCAACAATCTGGAATTGTATCAAATTGGCGCAATTGGCGCAGCTGCTGAACCTCTGGCCTAGCCATAAAATATGAAGAGGGATGGAGCTTTTCCTAACTACAT